TATAAGTATTTACTAGGTAACTGCCTACGCAGATGCGCGGATAAGTGTAGTTATTTGATTTTATTTCTAATGCCATGGAGAAGAAAACTAAACATTTTTTCATTATTTTTTATGATCAATATGTTGATAAGTTGATCCTACACAAGTTATATTAAATCCTCTTTTTGAAGAGGCTAAGGAGTTCAAAGCCAGGTGAGATGATTCTTCGCATATGTTATTTGTTTTTAATAGATAAGTCCAGTTATGACCATTTGTAATTTTATTCTTTGATTTCTGTAGTCGACCTGCCAAGATATCTGCAAGGAAATCAAGGTCTATGGTTATGGATCCTTAAGGATCGTGCTGTTGTGTTGGAAAGCGAATAAGATATTTGGCTATTTATGTTCGTCTTAGGTTTTGATCTATATTAAATTTATAATTACTGTTTTCTTTTGGGGGTTTGTTAGTCAGTGCCTAATCTTTAAAATATTAATAAAATATTAATTTATAGACCAAATTTGTTCTTCTTCAAAGAGATACTCAGAAGTTGAATATATGATTTGACTAAACTGAGATGATAATTTTTGTGTAGATTCAATATACCAAATTTGTTCTTTTTAAAAGAGATACTTTCATCCTCAATATATACGCCGTCTCATCCGAGATATCAATGTTTATTCGATTATTGATCTTGGATAGGTTTAAAAACTTGATTTAGATCCTCTATTCTTCTAATTCGCACCAACTGGCAGATGAATTAGTCCAAAAACAATACATGCTTCGTAAAAGTTTGGGTAAATAACATTGTCCACTGTTTAAGGTCGTTGAAACATGTTGCTCCTCTTACAACAGTTAGTAACATTCGAAGATAAAAAATTTCACCACAACGTTCTTGCAGTATTGGGAGGCGGACACCAACAGGATTGTAATGAAGTGGCGACGGAGCCATGTCTTAGGTTTCGAATGCCAAACCCAAAACGATGGGAATTCTGTGTACAAAGTTGCCTTGCTTCAGGATATATTCTATTGCAATCCATTCAAGACTGAAGTTTAGTTGTTTTGGTGATCAAGTCTGGATCATATTCATTGAATACTATGGCTGTATGCTCTGTTGGTAGGTGTTTTTTTTCCTTAGTATGATGTTGGAGATTATGGATTTATTATTTATGTTTTGGAGACTTTATTTAAGTTAATACTTATGTTTTCTTCTAACTTCACATAATACAATTATTTAAGATGATTACTTATGCTTTCTTCTTACAAGTTAGCGTTTCAACTATCAGTAGTTATCTATACACAGACAGGTTTCTATAAAATCAAAGATGGAGCACTAAAGAAATATCGAAAATCTGCTGAAGAAATCGAATAATATGATGTGACTTATTGATCTATAATATGCAGAGCATGAATACAAGTAACTGTGCAGAAAAAGAAGAAGAGATATTGACAGAGTGATGTTTGCGTTGTAGGATGGGAGTAGAATGGAAAAGATGATCTTTCTCCAACAGAGATGCTATCTATATCGAAACATCACATCCCTATACATTCATATATGACAGTTCTATACATTCAAAGCTTTTGCTATAAAAATAATTCTGAACCAGTATAAATATAGAGGCCCCTGTAATATATTAACATACGCGAACAAAGCAATTGTGGAAGAAGAGGTAGAAATTGGCCTGAACGGTGACGAAAGTCTGCTGGAATTTTTGACGGATGGCATCAAGGACGATAGTTTCAATATTCGGGCATGAGTTATGTTAGAAACCTGTCCAGAGCTGAACAGAGACACATAAATAAAAGATAAGAAGAAGAGAAATATGGAGAAGATGGTTTGCTCCTTCCATTGCAGATACATACGTGTTTCTTCTCCATTGCTCCCTCTCTCTTTCCTTATCTCTACTTCTCTCCTAAATCTCTTTCTCTCTCTCTCTCTCTCTCTCTCCCCGGAAAAAAATGGTGGTACTTCTCTCCTAAATCTCTTTCTCTCTCTCTCTCTCTCCCCGGAAAAAAATGGTGGACCAGAAAAAGTACGCTCTGTTTCTAGTGACTCCAGATTCAGAGTTCGTGAAGAAAGCGTACAGAAGATACCGCAACGTGTTTGTGTCGACGTTCGGAGACAAAGGAGAGCATTGGAAAATGATGGGTTTATCAAAGAAATTAGTAAAGGCAATGGAAAGTATGCTTGACCTAAGGAATTTGTATAAGTGATTCTCGTGTTAATGTTTTTAAGAGAAGACGGAAAGTATGTGTGACCTAAAGATTCTAAATAGAATTATTTATAATGTTGAATGGGTGGAAATTAGAAATAGAAATTAGGGCTTCCATGTTATCGACATAGGGTAGATATTATTTGATGATTTTTATAATTTTCATAATTTTTATTAAGAGTATTAATTTTCATTAAGGATAATTGAAGTCAATTCACATAAGGAGCAAATAGTAATCAACCACAATAACTCTCAACCACAGCCCAACTTGCTTGCCAATTAATAATATGATTTGGGTTTTTGTTTTAGGTTTTGGGTTTAACAAGTTGTTAGGTCTTTTTTTCTTATCTCATTTATTTTAGGGCTTTCTCGTTTTAGTTTAAATAGAATTGTCTTTGAGTCTTTGTTCTGCAGTCTTTTTTTTGATAAATCAATAAAAACCAAAAAGAGAAAACTCAAGTTTCCCAAAGAGCTTTCTTGTGCAAAACCCTGAGAGGAGGACTCTCAAATCCTAGCCGTAATCAAAATCTCTTTGATAACGTCTAACCAAGTTTGTTTGCGAGTTCTCTTGGAGTTCTCGTGACCTAACTTTTTATCTTAGCTTCCGCTCTTTATCAACAGTCCCTCTGATAAGACTTGAATCTCAACTAGGAAGCCTTAAAAGCTTCAGTAGGTCCTTGGGAGAATGAAGAGATTTTGTTCTCAACTCTTCTGATCTTGCATCATCATAGAAATTGTTCAGAAGAGTGTTATGGGTCTCTTCCCAAGTAGTCAGCGATCCAGGTTAAAGTTGTTTCAGCCAGTAAGCTGCATCTCCACCAAGAGAGTAGGGGAAAAGCTTATAGAACAGGAAATCATTGCTGACTTCATTGGCCTTGATGCTTGTAGCTAAATCCTCAAATCTCTCTATGTGGTCCATAGGATGCTCATGTGGCAAGCCATGGAAAAGATGCTGACCCACAAGCTGATAGTAGACAGGCTTGATCTCAAAATCGTTCATCTGGAATGCAGGAGGGCGGATTGCAACTATGTTGGCATTAAACTGGTCAGGTTTGTTGTAATCTCCTAGAGTCTGCTGAACAAAATGCCCAGCAGCATTTACAGCTACATCCGCAGCTTGTTGAACCACTTGTTCAACTATTACATTGCCACTCTGATCCAGTCTCTACCCTTCTTCATTCCTCTTGTTTCCATCTCTGTCAACCAAGTGACCCTCTTCATTTTCGACCAAGACAAGCGGAGCCACCATTGTAGATTGCCTCTTAGCTTTTCTTATGGTCATTTTCAACTTAGCGAGTTCATCAATGCCCAAAGTCACAAAGCTCCTTCTCTTTGTTGCTTGTGGTACTTCGATTATGCATACACCTGAAACAAACACAAGAAAAATTGCAGAAAGTTAGTAGACAAATAAAAACTTAGTCAAAATCCTAATACTAAAAATCTATAGGCAGCTCTTACTCCCCGGCAACGGCGCAAAAAACTTGATAGGACCAAGGTTTTACCCAAATAATTAACTACTGCAAGTGCACAACAAAGCAGTTGTAGCATAAAAGGTTATCGAATCCTAAGGGAGTAAGTTAACTACACTATAGAGTTCAGGTTTGGATTAAGCTATGCAGTAAATAATGTATATAATGCCAAATAACTAAGGTAATGTAAGCAAGCGATTTTTGTTGATTGATCTAAGTTCAGAAAGCTAAAAGCATTAAGCCAGGACAATTCATAGGTGGAATCCAAGAATATAGAATGCATGCAAGCAGAAATGAATTAAAACCGTCTTAAACTCAAAACTCAATGGTATAACTAATCAATTCTCATTGCAGAAGTTACCTATGCCTAATTCACAGAATTCCAAATCTCTTTGCAAATTCTAACAAGTTAAGCAAGTATTAAAGATCAGGTTTCAGTTGTTAACAAAACTCGTAAGTCAAATCTCTTTGCAAGTAGGCGTTTTTCTCATCTAATACTAGTTCAGGTGATTAACAATGTTCTCACATCTATTAAACAACCTAGGGTTTCGAAATCTAGATGATTAGTCTCAGAAATCGATGTGAATGCAAGTATAGATGAAGAACCAATGGATTTCCCAACAGTTTAGTGATTCTACAAACTCTTCATCAACCTTTGAAAAGCCCTAACTTAACTAACAGATTACTCGGACATAATCATGAAGACAAAAAGCATAACTGAATAAAACTACATTAAAAGAAAAGAGTAAAAGGTAAAGAGGTTCGAAATCTTCTCTAAAAGAGTACAGGATATGTCTCCCCAAAAGCTCTAAATAAATCTCTCTCTAAAGCTTTCTAGAAATTCCGACAAACCAAAAAGTGGCTGCAAAAGCTAAAATATAGGCCAAAAACGAACTGGGGCACTTGCAAATAAGTGAAACCTCTATGCCAAAAGTGCAAATTCCTCTTTATCTTTTAATAGAACCGCGATTCCTTCCTCAGATGTGGGTGACAAGCAACACCATTGAGTGGTGACGATCATCACCAGTGCAGCGTAAGCCTTCTGAGTTGTTTTCTTCGGAAATGATCCTTGCTATGATCCAAAAAGCTCCAAAACCTCCAATTGTGCTCCAATCATGCAATAACCTGCAAAGACTTTACTAGGACTCTAAAAAGACCAAAAAGACTCAATAAAAAAGACTTATACCATGGTTAAAAACCATTAAAACCATGATATATCATAGCCCACTTCTTCGCAGGCTTTCCGGATGCAAAGCATAAAGTGCCCTCGTTGAGTTCTGGCTGCTCGAGTGGGGTACATAGAGTCTTTGCTGCTGCTGCTGATGTTTCTGCTTTGGTACGCTCATTGGCAGACCTCTCCACTTCAACTTCATCACACCAGGGAGCTAAGATGAGTTTCTTCTGGCTGAGAGCTTCCATGAACTTGTTCCAAGTTTCAACCTTTTGAGTGCATGCATCATTCTTTCTCTTCGCCTCGTCAAAGAGACGTATCTGGATTTTGCCGAGCATGTCCTTAACTTGTTCAACCAAGTCTCCTCTAAGGATATCTGCCCTAGCTCCAGTGTCACGCTTCACTATTCTCACCTGCTTGAACATAACAAAACAACAACAAACAACCAGAAACCTTAGCCCACATACAGATTATGAGACCTTGTTGGCAGAAAGGCAGAAACTGACATGATTCTTGGTGAGGTCCCTGGGACCAATTTTGATTCTCAATGGAACACCCTTTTTCTCCCAGTCTGAATACTTCCAGCCGCAAGCATAGTTGTCACGGTAATCTGCTTCAGCACGGATTCCAACCTCAAGCAAAGTGGACGTAACAGCTTCACATGCTTTATCAAGTATTTCGGTGTCAATGCCAATGAAAGGAACTGTGATCACGATAACTTGAACTGGTGCAACCAAAGGAGGGAATACCAAACCTTTGCCATCCCCATGAGTCATCACCATTACTCCAATCTATAGATCAAAAGTGAAAACATGATTAGAGGGAGGAAACAAAAAAAAATCCAAGTAACATCAAGACCAAGAGACTGTAATGTAATTACCGATCTGATATTGAGACCCCACGAGTTCTGCCACACGGTTGATCTGTGTCCCTTCTTGTCTTCAAAGGTGATGTCAAACATGTTTGCAAAGTTCTATCTGAAACAATATGAAGTCGCAGCTTGAACACCACGGCTGGCGCTTGGGATGAAAGCCTCGACCCTTGCGGTGTAAAGTCCACCGGCGATCTCGTTGTCGCTCTTGATACCTTTGATAACAGGGACCGCAAGGAGCTTCTCGTAAACGTCGTTGTAGAGTTGCAGAACATCAAACACCTCTTTATCTGCCTCGCCTTTTGTGGCGAAAGCGGTGTGCCCTTCCTGCCAATAAAACTCGCCCACCTGGTAAACGGGATAGGTTCGCTAACCTCCCATCTAACCACATTCCCACTGGTTAAACTTCAATGGCAGGTCACAGTGTCCCCTAATCCTCTTGCTAAAGTAAGGGTAGATCCCCGTCTTGCTGGTGGGAAATAGAGAAATCAGATTCACCAGCTCTTGTAACCCAAACAATCTCGGGAGAAAACCCTTCAATGTGCTCCTTCTCTTTTTCAAGAGAAGCATGTGGTATAATGACAAGGAAAGTACATTCCTTCACGCCCATATTTTCAATTTCGGCATCAAAGAAAGTCTACAAAAAACCAAAAATATCAAATAAAAATTCCAAAAAGACAAAGGACTTTGGTTTCAGAGAAGTCACTCACTTTTATAAAATTCAAAATCGTCATTGCGGATGGCAAAAGGATGTAGCAGCCTTTGACATTGTAGTAGCCAATCATGTCATTGCGTATACAAACCTCAGGAATACCATTTCCCAAAGTCGTCGCCTTTCTTTTGGGAGATGCCCAGACGGGTTTCCTTCTTAAGCTCTTTCTTGGTTTTGAATTAAATCTGAGCGAGCGATACATCAAAAAAAAACTTCTCAAAGTCCCCATATTTGGTTGTGGAGCCGGTTTCATTTTTTAAAAGTAAGAAAAAAATCAGATACAGGGGAATAATTTGATTTCGGAGACGAGAATCTTAGAAACCAATAAAAAAACACCACCATACCTCACTGGTGACGAACCCTTCCTCCATTCTTCCTTCGACTGTGAGCACCTAAGACTCGCGCCGCGTGTGCTCTCGGTGGTTAGGCTTATGAATTCTTCGATCCGACTCCCAGAAAAACCCCTAAGCTTTTATTTACTTGGGGAAAAAGTTCACACCTCGTCGGTTTCTATTTATTTACTTGATGAAACAACAACTACCAACCCAAAAAAAGCCCACTTCGGAATACAGGCCCTTTTTGGCTTTGGGCTTTTTTGTCCAACAGCCTATCATAATGTAATAATGTAATAGAGTTAATTATATCTACACACACTTTTTCCACTTTCTTTACAAGTTTGCACACATTAAGCATATGGCACACTTTCTCATTTAAGCATATACACAAGCTTCTTATGTCGTATAAATTTATATTATGACATGTGCTATTCATATAAATCATATACATAAGTCTAAATATGATTATATATATGCTTAAACGGATGCATATGTACGGATATAATAAATTTTATTATACATGTGTATATATTTAATCAAAATATGTATGTTTGAATAAAAATAGAATATAAAAAGTGAAAACTATACATACAAAGTTACAGTTTTCAAAATGAGTTACAAATTAAATTTTATAATCTATTAATTCTGATGAATGTTAACCACATGTTGTTATACGTACTCAAACAAAATATATGTGTTAAATCAAATTGAATAGGAAAACTAAATATAATAAAAAGATTTAAATATTTCCCAAAAGAATTATGAATTTTAATTTGTAATCTATTGACTATGCACATGATATCCGCGTGTCATTTTACAGATTAAAACTAAATAAAAAACATGTATGTTTGTGTCTATTCAAACAGATTAGAATAAATGTTTTTGGATTCAAAATAAGTAAAATACGTGTAAACTTTTTTGACAAAAATTAAGAAAAACATATGATCAACACATACAAAATATTAAATTGAATAGGAAAAGTAAACAGAATAAGAAAATTAGAACATTTTCAAAAATGATTACAACTTAGAATTTATATTATATTGTCATGTGTAAATGTCACCCACTTATCACTATAAAATTTCAAAAATTATATATAAATTTTTTATTTTAATATAGCAGAAAAAGAAATACAAAAAGAAAATTAATGCATTTTCCAAAAAGAAATAAGACTTCAAATTTGTAATATATTGGATTGTACGAATGCTAACATGTGTTATGATACATACTCAAATAAAATCTATATGTTTAATTTAAATAATAATTTGTTTACATTAACCTTTAGGTATTGGGGAATTGAACCTTAGAACTTATAATTTATATGCATTAATTAACTATTTGGTCAACCACTATACTAAAAAGATTTTCAATGTTAATATTAATTTACATTGCTCATTACGTATTAATCTTTTAAAAAGAGGTAATATGAATAGATAAAAACTAATAAATAAATATTTAAAAAAAATAGAAGCTAGTAAGCTAATGATTTATATGAATAGGACATGTCATTATATAAATTCATACTGTATATGAAGCTTGTGTATATGCTTAAACAGAATGCACATGTATGAATTGTATAAATTTTATTACAGATGTGTATATATATTTACTCAAAATCTGTATGTTTGACTAAAAATTGAATATAAATAAGTGAATAATATACATACAAAGTTACAGTTTTTAAAATAAACTACAAATTAAAATTTATAATCTAGTGATTCTGATGAAAGTTAACCACGTGTAATTATACGTTGTCAAACAAAATATATGTGTTAAATTCAAATTGAATAAGAAAATTAAATATAATAAAAAGATTCAAATACTTCCCAAAAGATTTGGCAAACCGAGTACAAACATGTAAAAATATTCAAATATAGTTAATGATATGGGTGTGTTTTCAAACAGAGTAGAATAAATGTGTTTGGATTCAAAATAAATAAAATACGTGTAAAAAGGTTCTACAAAAATTACGAAAAACATTTGATCAAAACACACAAAATATTAAATTGAATAGGGATAGTAAATACAATCAGAAATCTAGAACATTTTCAAAAATAATTACAACTTAGAATTTATAATATATTGTCCTGTTTAAATGTTGCTCACATATCAGTATAAAATTTCAAAAAGTATATATAAATATTTTAATTTAATTGAGCACAAAAATAAATAAAAAAGTAAATAAAAGCATTTTTTAAATAAAATTATGACTTCAAATTTATAATATATTAGCTGGTATGAATGCTAACATGAGTTACGATATATACTCAAACAAAATTTATATGTTTGAATTTAAATAACAGCTTGATTACGTTAATCTTTAGATATATACTCAAACAAAATTTATATGTTCGAATTTAAATAACAGCTTGATTACGTTAATCTTTGGATATTATTTTTACTGGGAATTGAACCTTAAGCCTCATGATTTATAATCATTAATTAATTATTTGGTCAGCCACTAGACTAAAAGAATTTTCAATGTTAATATTAATATACACATGTTGTTATGTATCACGTTTTTAAAAAGAATTTTGGTAAATATATAAAAAATCATAAATAAATATTAAAAGAATTAGAGCTAGTATACTAATGATTTATATGAACAATACATGTTTTTATATAAATTTATACTGCATATGAAGCTTGTGTATATACTTGAATGTGTATATATTTAATCAATATATGTATTTTTGAATAAAAGTTGAATATAAAAAGTGGATATAATACACACAAAGTTACATTTTTTAAAAGGAAATACAAATTAAAATTTATAATATATTTACTCGGATGAATGTTAACCACATGTCAAAAAAATTAGAAATTTTAATTTGCTATCTATTCACTATATGCATGATGTAGGCGTGTCATTTTACAAATTCATCCTGAGTAATAAACACGTATAAAGATTTCAAATCAAGTTGATGATATTTGTGTGTGTATTAGAATAAATGTGTTTGGATTCAAAATAACTAAAATACGTGTAGAAGCTTTTGACAAAAATATAGAAAAACATATGATCATAACATACAAAATATTAAATTAAATAGGAAAAGTAAACACAATAAGAAAATTAGAATATTTTTGAAAAATTATAACAACTTAAAATTTATAATATATTGTCCTGTGTAAATGTCACCCACATATCACTATAAAAATTCAAAAATTAAATATAAATGTTTTATTTTAATTAAGCAGAAAAAATAAATAAAATAAAATAAAATAAAATCATTTTTCAAATAGAATTATGACTTCATATTTGTAATATATTGGCTTGTACGAATGTTAACATGTGTTAAGATATATACTCAAACAAAATATATATGTTTGAATTCAAATAATAACTTGATTACTTTAACTTTTAGATATTGTTTTTACTCGGAATTGAACCTTAGACCTCATTATTAATATGCATTGATTAACTATTTGGTCAACCACTAGACTAAAAGGATTTCTAAAGTTACTATTAATTTAAATAGCTGATTATGTATTAAGTTTTAAAAAAGAAATTGGATAAATAGATAAAATTAATAAATAAATATTTAAAAAAAAACTAGAGCAGGTAAGCTAATGATTTATATTAATAACACATTTCATTATATAAATTCATACTAATGATGAAGCTTGTGTGTATACTTAAAACATAATGAATATATACAGCCTGAATAAATTTTATTACATATGTGTATAAAAAATAAATATAAAATGTGGAGACAATACCCAAAAAGTTACAGTTATCAAAGGAAAATATAAATTAAAATTTATAATATATTTACTCGAATGAATATTAAACACATGTCATAATACGAACTCAAACAAAATATATGAGTTGAATTAATACTTAAGATCATCTCCAATGTGTTCCTCTATTTTTTCCTCTAAAATAGAGGAACTCTAAAATAGAGGTGCACTTCTCTTCAATATTCCTCTAAAAATGAATATTTTAAGAATATTTTATTTATAATTTATTATTAACACCTTCTTTTCATAAAATTTACAAATTAGCCCCATTTATATTATTGTTTACAAAAATTTCCATAAATAATAAAAATATATTAAAATTAAACATTTATTTCATAAAACAAAATTCAAAATGACTATAGTATTTGTAATTTTCCATAATTTTCAAAACATTTATTAAATCACTATAGTATTTATCATTTTCTATAAATTTCTGTATTTTTAAAAAAAATTATTGTAATTTATCATTTTGTTTATAATTTATATTGAAATAAATGAGAATTTTCCAATTTAGTTACATTATATGTTAACAAAATTTTCTCAAACCATAACAAAAATTATTAAATTTATTTATTTATTGGGTTTTTGTATTTAATAACATACAAAACTGTATAATGTAACTTTATTGACGTATTATTGTACATGTGTATACTATATTGTTATCCATGTTCATTTTTTTATCGTGGATTAACCACTTTCATTTATAAATTATATAGTTAATTAAAGTAAATAATGTTTTCTGTTTTTCTATAATAGTTATTGTCTGAAATGATGTTGATTTTATTAAACTTTATTAAAGTTAGATAACATTTTATAATTTAATTAAATTTATATGTTAGATATATGGCGATTTATTGGATATATACAAACTAGATTATGCAAATATTTAATTTAACTTTTTATCTGTTATATAAATAAAAGAAAAAGATATTAATGTTAAGGGACCAGTTTATAAATAAAAAAGAGCATCTCTATTATAGAGGAACAAATAGAGTTCCTCCAAATATAGAGGGAAATATAGCAACCTCTATTTTAGAGGTAAAAATAGAGGTGGATTGGAGAGAATTTTCCTCTAAACTCTATTTTTTCCTCTAAAATAGAGGTAGATTGGAGATGCTCTAATAGGAAAACTAAATATAATAAAAATATTCATATAATTACCAAAAGAATTAAGAATTCGAATTTGTAATCTATTGACTATATGCATGACATACACGTGTCATTTTACATATTCAAACCGAGTAAAAATCATGTATAAGAATTCAAATCTAGTTAATGATATGTGTATGTGTATTCAAACAAAGTAGAATAAATGTGTTTGAATTCGATATAAGTAAAGTTCGTATCAAAAATTTTATTAAAAATTAACAAAAATATATGACTAAAACATATGAAATATTAAATTGAATAGGGAAAGTAAATACAATAAGACATTAGAACAATTTCAAAAATAATTACCCTGTGTAAATGTCATCCACATATTACTATAAAATTTCAAAAATTATATATAAATGTTTTATTTTAATTGATAATATATTAGCTTGTATGAATGTGAACATATGTTACGATATATACTCAAACAAAATCTATATGTTTGAATTTAAAAATTAGTTTGATTACATAAACCTATAGATATTATATTTACTGGGAATTGAACATTAGACCTCGTGATTTAAATGCATTAATTAACTATTTGGTCAACCACTAGACTAAAAAGATTTTCAATGTTAGTATTAATTTATGTAACTTATTATGTATTAAATTTTGAAAAAGAAATTGAAAAATAGATATAAACTAATAAAAAAAATTAAAAGAATTAGAGCTAGTAAGCTAATGATTTATATGAGTAGCACATAAAATGTAATGAAAATATACGGATTGAATAAATTTTATTACATATGTTTATATATTTAATTAATATCTGCATGTTTGAGTACAAATTGAATATACAAAGTGCATACAATACATACAAAGTTAAAGCTTTTAAAAGAATTACAAATTAATTATAATCTATTTACGTTAATGACTGTTAATCACATGTCATTATACTTACTCAAACGAAATATATGTGTTGAAATGACATTGAATAGGAAAACTAAATATAATAAAAATATTTAAATATTTTCCAAACAAATTGGGAATTTTAGTTTGTAATTTATTGACAATATGCATGATATACGCGTGTCATTATATATATTCAAACCAAGTAAAAAACATGTATAAAGATTCAAATCTAGGTAATGATGTGTGTGTATTCAAATAAAGTAGAATAAATGTGTTTGGATACGAAATAAGTAAAGTACGTGTCAAAAGTTTTGTCAAAAATTAAGAAAAATATATGACTAAAACAAATAAAATATTGAATTGAATAGGAAAAGTAAATATAATAAAAAAAAATCAAAAATAATTACAACATGTAATTTGTAATATATTGTCCTGTGTAAATGTCACCCACATATCACAATAAAATTTCAAAAATTATCTACAAATGTTTTATTATAATTGAGCACAAAAAATAAATACAAAAACAAAATAAAATAAAAACATTTTTCAAATAGAATTATAAATTTCTTCTGCCTCTAAGGTTCGCGAATCTTAAGTACTTGAATTTTTGTTTCAAGTCTTGCCTTGAGGAGAAAGGAACCAGAGCTAGAAGAAACATAATCTTAGTGTTGAATCCAAGAAAAGGTATGGGTATTCTAGCGAACAAAAAATATCCTCCTTCTGATACTCAACCTTGTCATCGTCAAATATTATCCACTTCTATTGCTTGTAATCGCCTAGGAAGATCTCAGAAATTAGGTAGTAAACTTCACCACACACATAACATAGCAATGGATTTTAGAACCAAATCAAATCATCAATAGTGTCCACTACGCTATGTTTAACAGTGTCTTGGATTGGGAGAAGGATCATGTGTCTTGGATTGGGAGAATATGTTTGAGGATCAAAGGCATGCTTATGAATAGTAGAATAGAGATCGGTGAGTTATGAATCATATTCAGACCTGTGGCCGATCTCAATTCACATGGAAGGGTAGTCTTACCTAAGACTATTACCTTGGGCTCTGGATATCGTCGAAGACATCAAGCCTTATGTCCCAACTGTCCACACTTAACACATTTAGTGGGAACCCATGCCTACTATACTTGAACATTTATGTTGGCATTTTGGTTACTTTGTGCAAACATATATGTCCCCCCGAGAGAAAAAAATCCAGGTAGAAACTCTTTGATGAAATTAGAAATACTCGATTTGAAAAAGGAAAAAGACAGAGTACTTGAATAACAATAATAATAGCATTAACAACAATACATTACAAAGAAAGTCTTGCTTCTTTAAGAAAATTGTTCAAACTTGAGACCGTCTTGTGACTCTGTCATTGAGTAATATTTCTTAGCATATGGGCTGCTCTTTGACCTTGCCGCATAGTCCATCTTCCACACAAGAAACAAAAATCTTAGATCAATCTAAACATTAGAAAGATTTATGTGTATTAAAACACTCTAACTTATTCACCAAGAAACCAGGAGAAAACAAACCCTTAAAGAAGAAAATAACTTACGTTGTTAATGGTTTGGAAGAGCTTGCTAGTGAGTTCTTTGAGATTGTATTTATCTTCCTTAAACCTAGTGGATATAATGGTATTAAAGATCGACACAGAGATACAATGCTCTCAAATCGAGGCTCTTCTGAACGTAAGGCCAAAATTTTTGGTCGATCAATGTCTTAACGTTAATGATCTCTTTAGCAGATTTTTTTGGCCCTAGCTCCAACTTCTGTTGGTGACAGTGGCTGCAAGTAAAATCTGTCTTTCAATGCCAACGAAAAGTCTCTTGCTTGGTATGAGTTATCTGTCCCAGCTGTTCTCACACACACAAATCAAAACCACATTCAACCAATCCGAACTTAAAAGTAGAACCAATATCCTGAATCAAATTAACCATTTCTTCTCTAACAAAACTCTAAATAAAACCATAACTTCAAATCTTCCAGGACTGGTTTTTTTAAAGAGATTAGAGATCTAAAATAGAAGTTGTAGAGAGAGAGGTATGGCCGCTGATCGATCTAGATTATTTTAAAAACTTGTTTTTAATAAATATAGAGGTTTAGAAGGGTTTAAATGATTTAGGGTTTTACTTGTAGCTGCATAAATTAATTAGGTTAGTTAAAAATATTTGTAGTTTAAATGATCAAATAAAAATTAGTTTAAAAAAATAATTAGGATCGATTGTTTTGTGATTTTATGCTAGTTAATTTTTTTAGCAAACTGAATATTCTTATGATATAAACTCGAATTTGGAAATCTAGGTTTAAAAAAAAATAAAAATCAACTAAAACTTATATTATATTAATTTATTAATTTCATTAACGGTAAATAAAGTCTTTTCATATAAGGGGCAAAGAGTAATCAACCATCATAATTCTTAACCACGGTCCAACTTGCTTCTCAATTAATAATATAATGTAACATTGCATTTGACGAAAGAGTATTTTCTAACGGTTATAATTTAAATTAGAGAGAAAATACAAAAAATTTGGAAAGAAATATGAAAAAGATTTGAGAGAAATGTATTCGTTTTAGAACATGTGTTTCCTAACGCTTTTTTTTTGTTGATCAACATATGCATTTTATAAATCACTTATACTCCACCAGTGGAGAAAATGTTTACAAAACATGATAATAGTGCCAAGCAAGCTAACAGAACCGATGCAACAAACGCAAATCGAAGAACTAACATAAACGCAATAGATGCAGACATAACACTTAAACCACCAAAGACATAGAGAATTCCTCTAAACTCGACACCAATAGTGCTAAAATTGAGATGATGCAATGTAAGACAAAGAGCTTAACTAGAAGATAAATGGAGAGGAAGATAATAACAAGGCTTAGAAAGTCTGCTATTTTGTTCAAATACGTTCCCAACACAAGGGAGAAAGTTAGGACATCCGAGTCTGGAAATACTTGTAGCAAGATGAAAGCTGTGAAGCCTACATCTTTGAGTGCCAACTGCAGAGTAAAGGCTTCTTGAAACAGCAACAGCAGAGATGCTTGGGAGTCTTCATTGGACTTGGACCGAAACATAGTGAGGTCCCAAAAGCGGTCAACAACAGGACAACAGAAGGAGACATTGAAATCTTTTTTCGAATGGCCAAAACTCTTGCATACCTCATTCTCTGATAATCCTGAAACAACAGGTAACAACACAACAGACCCAATAGTTAGAAATGAACGCATAGGAGATTTTAGAAAAACATCCTTAGCCTGAGGTAAAAGATGGCTCAAAGAAAGCTTAAATGTCCTTATACTGAGGTAATTGAAGCCTAAGCGAAAGCAAATTCCAATCAATAGCAACTTGTTCCCAGGGGTTACAAGGAGAGGATCGCACATAAGAATGCCATGTCGCCAACTGAGGAATGAAGCAGATCTGGACGCTGTACACAGCAGTAGGGAAACGCATAAGAGCGAAGAGATCCCAAAAGGTTGAGCCAGAGGTTGTCGACGTGTTTCCTAACGCTTATATACTTATATTTCAAATTTAAGTTGATTTTAAATGGATAGTGATTATCCATTTGCTTTTGTCTTTATACATTAGCATATTAAAGGATAATGTTTATCCATATGTTTTGGATAATGCTTACCCATATGTTTTGTCTTTATACATTACCTTACTTCACTATGAAGTAAGGTTTTCCTATAAATAGGTAACTTCATTCTTTGTAAAATAATAAGTTCAGAAGAAGGAAGAAATGAAGTTCTTATGTTCATAGTTCTCTCTGAAGTTCAAAAAATCTTAAACTCTTCTTTGCTTTTCTATATAAAGCATTAGTTTACAACACACTATCAGCACGAGCGTCTCTTGACTTGTCTATATACCAGAGAGGTAAGATTCATTTATGTTTAATTTATTTTGAATGTTATGATTTACGGAAAGATAGGTTCTGCTTTCTCCGTTTATATGTTATGTCGGGATGGAAGGCTCTGCCTCCTCCGAGCTGATCGTTATGGTAGGCACTGCCTCCACGGTCAAATAATTATATTGTTTATTTATTGTGCCAGGATGGTAGGCTCTGCCTCCTCCGAGCTGATTGTTATGGCAGGCTATGCCTCCACAATCAAAAATGATCACATGGCAGACTATGTTGCCTTAGATCATATTTATTTATTTATTTATTATGTGGGAGATTAAAATCCCCATTTTGTTCATTTATATATTATGCAATCAGCAGTTGTATGGTAGGCTCTGTCTCCTCATATTGCTTTAAATTATTATTTTTTATTATGCTGTTACCATGCTTAATTTTTTATATAACTAAATTTTATTCAAATTAAATGGGTTAAGTTTTTGTTATTCAGTAATAATGTCGAATTTGTCAAAGCTCGAGATCGCCGCCCTTGACTTGTGTGGGAAGAATTATATGTCTTGGGTGGTAGATGCAAAGTTGCATCTAAAGGGAAATGGTCTCTTGAGCACTATCGATAAGTCAAAAACGAGGTCAGATGAGGCTTAGGCAAAAGCCATGATCTTTTTACGCCACCATATCCATGGTGGTTTAAAAGATGAATACATCATGAAAGAAGATCCGGCAGATCTTTGGTTATCGCTTAAGAGTCGGTTCGATCACCAGAGGTATGTGATCTTACCGAAAGCGAGGCACAAGTGGTTGAATCTCCGGTTCCAGGATTACAAAAGTGTGAGTGAATAAAATTCCATGTTGTTCGGAATCACCTCCAGGATGACTTTGTGTGGAGAATATATCAGTAATATGATATGTTAGAGATAACTCTCTCCACTTTTCATCCTGGAAATGTAATTCTACAGCAGCAATACCGGGCAAGAGAATTCACCCAGTACTCAGAGTTGATGCAGATCCTCCTTGTAGCTGAACAAAATGATCAACTCGTGATGTTGAATCATCAGACTCGTCCAACTGGATCTATGCCATTCCCTGAAGTGAATGTTGCATCATCCAGTCGAAGTGATAAGAAGCCACGACGTGATCGCAGACGCGGTAGAGGCCGCGGTCGTGGTCACGGCCGAGGGCGTGGACAAGGAAGGGAAAGTGATGATGGTCGGGACTTTAGAAGACAAGGTGACATCCCTTGCTTCAGATGCGGCTTGAAAGGGCATTGGGTACAGACATGTCGTACGCCAAAACATTTCACCGATCTGTATGCAAAATCACAAAAGGCCAAAGAAAAGGATGCAGAGACCAACTTTATCTTATATGAAGCTGGAACTTCCTTTGATGGCTTGAGTGATGACACTCATCTTGATGTTGCTGACTTTCTTGTTGATCCTGAAGCATCAACAAAGTCAAAGAAACTTAAATCGATAATAGTGTCTCCTTGATAGAGACAAGAATAACAAACTCTTAATCTTGCTTTTAGTATGTATAATATACTATGTTTATGCTACAGGTTTTTGATGTAATATATTAACCTGGTTTTTTTAAGTTGATGTTCTTTTAATTATTGCATCACTTATAAGTATTGTGACCCAGAAGATGTCACACTTTGAGATTGTGGATGGAGATACTTGTCTAGCATTCAATACTTAAAAATAAAAAGTATTTCTCATGTCTCAAAATGAAGGTCTCCGCTGGAAGCGTGAGTACTATAACTGGTATAGCAAAGATTATACTAGGCTCCGGAAGAGCAAGTTTTTCATTGCCAAGGGGTACAGAGTTTGTAGTGCAAAATGCATTATACTCCCCCGAGTCTCAACAGAACTCATTAAGTTTTCGAGATATCCGCATAAATGGATATCATATTGAGACTATTAATAAGAATGGTTATGAATATCTTTTCATTACAACGGAGAGTAAACATCAATTGGAAGAGTTACCAATGATGTCCTCCGGATTAAATTGCACAAAGATAACCATGGATGAATCACATGTTGCGGTAAACCAGAAGTTTACTAGCACTTTTAGAGTATGGCATGAAAGGTTAGGTCATCCTGGTTCAGTCATGATGAGAAGGATTGTGCAAAATTCGAGTGGCCACCCATTGAAAAACTAGAAGATTTTTCAATCAGGAGAGTTTTCATGTAAGGCATGTTCTCAAGGAAAACTCATAAGTAGGCCCTCGCCAGCCAAAGTTAGGAATAAATCCCCTGTGTTCTTAGAGAGGATACATGGTGATATATGTGGGCCGATTAACCCACCGTGCAGGCCATTTAGATATTTCATGGTATTGATTGACGCATCTAGTAGATGGTCACATGTGTGTCTTTTGACCACAAGAAATATGGCTTTCACAAGATTCATTGCCCAAATAATCAGGTTGAGAGCGCATTTTCTTGATTATGCCATTAAGAAAGTCAGGCTTGATAATGCTGGTGAATTCACTTCAGCGGCCTTTAATGACGATTGTATGTCCTTGGGAATCGATGTTGAGCATCTGGTTCCGCATGTTCGTACACAAAATGGCATGGCTGAGTCATTGATTAAGCGGTTGCAATTAATTGCAAGACCGTTAATCTTGAGAAAAAAGCTAACAATCACTGTATGGGGCCATGCTATATTGCATGTTGGGGCATTGGTCTAGGTAAGGCCAAGTGCATATAATGAATATTCCCACATACAGTTAGCATTTGGCCAAAAGCCAGATGTATCCTATCTTCGTGTGTTTGGGTGTGCGATCTATGTCCCCATAGCGCCACCTCAAAGAACAAAAATGGGACCACAAAGAAGATTAGAAATATATATTGGGTATTCATCACCAAGTATAATTAGGTATCTTGAGCGGGTAACTGGTGATATGTTCACGGCATGGTTTGCCGATTGCCATTTTGATGAAAGTGAATTCCCTGCGTTAGGGGGGGGGGGGGGGGTGGGGATTGAGAGATTCACCAAATGATATCACATGGTGTACAAAAACTTTGGCTTATCATGATCCTCCTACAAACCAACGCGAGGTGGAATTTCAGAAAATTATACATATGCAAAGTTTGGCAAACCAGTTACCTGATGCATTCACTGATACAAGAAGGATGACAAAGTCCTATATCCCCGCTGCTAATGCTCTATCAAAGATAAATGTTCATGAAGAACAAATTGATGTAAATAGAGCAAATGAACCGGTTCAGCTAAAGCGCGGGAGGCCAATAAGATCAAAAGACAAAATTCCCCGAAAGAGAAAGAGATTGGAAGCAAAGGTTCTGGAAGGACCAAATAAAGCCAAATGTCATAAAGACATTTCTGAAAAGGTTCCTGGAGAACCAAATGAAGGTATATGTCTAGAAGGCATATCTGAACCAGTTCCTGAAGAACTAGGTAAAGAGATTTGTCCTGAAGACGAACCTGGAACAATAAAATATGAGATTTCCATCTCCTTTGCTCAAGGTGGAAAATTATGGGCTAGAAGTGAAATAGAAGATAATGATGGAATGTTCTCTTTTTCTGTTTCCAAAGAAATCGATCATGAAAATGATGATCAAGATCCAAGTTCCGTGTCAGAGTGCCAAAGAAGGCCTGACTGGGATAAATGGCAAGTGGCCATGAGGGATGAGATATTCTCCCTTAATAAATGGAACGTATTCGGACCGATAATTATTACACCTGAAGATGTAATACCGGTCGGATATAAATAGGTCTCTGTAAGAAAGAGAAATGAGAAAAATAAGGTCACAAGGTATAAAGCTCGCCTTGTGGCACAAGGATTTTCTCAAAGACCGGGAATAGATTATGAAGAAACATATTCTCCAGTCATGGATGCAATCACATTCATGTACTTAATGAGCCTAACGGCCTCTAAGTAACGAGGATCCATTTCAACCTTGTGAAAGTAACGAAGAAATATTAGGTCCTGAAGTGCCTTATATGAGCGCTATCGGTGCCCTTATGTATCTTGCAAATTGTACTAGACCAGAGATAGCTTTTGCTACTAACTTACTTGCAAGGTATAGTTCATCACCGACGCACCGGCATTGGAATGGAATAAAGCATATATTCCGTTATCTTCAAGGTTCGATTGATTTTGGGTTATATTATTTTAGAAATCCCGAGGTTGGTCTAGTTGGTTTTGCAGATACAGGATATCTGTCTGATCCGCATAAAGCTCTATCGCAAACTGGATATGTTTTCACATTTGGTGGAACTGCGATCTCTTGGCGATCTCAAAAACAAATCTTGGTCGCCACTTCTTCAAATTATGCGGAGTTTATTGCGCTTTATGAAGCATGCAGATAATGTGTATGGCTTAGATCGATAGCTCATCACATACAAGAAGCAAGCAAAATAATCACAGACAACGAACCAACAAAGGTATTTGAAGATAATGCTGCTTGTGTCGCTCAATTTAAAGAAGGTTATATCAAGAGCGATAGAACGAAACATATCCCTCCAAGATTCTTCTCCTATACTCAAGAGCTCGAGAAGAATGAAGTGTGGATATTCAGTATGTTCGTTCAAGTGACAATACAGCTGATCTCTTTACAAAAGCGCTTCCTACTACAACATTTAAGAAATATATTCTATAGTATTGGAATGCGGCATTTACGATATTTGTGAAGAGAGGATGAGATCCATCTTTTCCAGGGGGGGTTTGCTATTGCTGTACTCTTTTTCCCTTTATCATGGTTTTTATCCTATTGGATTTTTCCATGAAAAGGTTTTTAACGAGGCAGCACACAACTTTACAGTGATGGATACTCAGACGTCATTTCGAGGGGGAGCGTTACTGCACTTTTTTCCTGTCATGATTTTTTCCCAAACGGGTTTTTCCATGATAAGATTTTTAACGAGGCAGTACGTAATATATCATTAGTGATGAATAATCAAAGGGGAGTATTAAATGGATAGTAATTATCCATTTGCTTTTGTCTTTATACATTAGTATATTAAAGGATAATGCTTATCAATATGTTTTGGATAATACTTATTCATATGTTTTGTCTTTATACATTACCTTACTTCACTATGAAGTAAGGTTTTTCCTATAAATAGGTAACTTTATTCTTTGTAAAATAATAAGTTCAGAAGAAGAAAGAAATGAAATTTTTTTGTTCATCTTTCTATCTGAAGTTTAAAAGATCTTAAACTCTTCTTTGTTTTAATATATAAAAATATTAGTTTATAACTGTTGATTTATTTTTTATCCACAAAAAAGATAATTTATTTTGAAATTGAATCGGTTCTGCATTCTTAAAAACCAGCTAAACTGAATTGATCTTTTATTTTCCAACGTCGTGGTCTTATTCAGATCAGAAGGTTATAGTTTCGTGATAGACTTTTGATGTCAAAACTTCTCAAAAACAAGAATGATTTATTGAATTAAATAAATTGTTTCTCAAATTACAAAGTAGATCTCAGTCACATACGAACTAGATTACTGGTCACATACGATCAGAAAAATGCTCATATGCAATTCTGTTACAATATAATTATGGATAAAATGTAATAAAAGTCACACGAGTCTATTTACACTGCTCTCCTTTTTTCTTCACTCGAGTCTGCATTCTCCTTTCCACTTGCCAGCTCAACATTGACCAATTGCATCCTTTGACTTTGCTCCTCCACACTCGAATTTTTCTTTTTCTGGAAAAGTACACTTGGTGGAGCCTATCACTTCCACTCCCACTGTGGTCGTTTTTTTTTTCCCCCAACCGGTTTTTTAATCTTTTAGGGTTTAAAGATTGAAAGAAGAAGTCATCAATTTCAATCTCGGTGTTTGTTTCTTTCTCGGTGATTGAAAGAATTCTCTGGGCTAGTGAAGGAGAAAGACATCGCTAAAAATGGCTTCTTCTTCTACTTCTCTCAAGAGACGAGAGCAACCAATTTCTCGAGACGGAGATGAGCTTATCATTACTCCTTTAGGCGCTGGGAACGAAGTGGGTCGTTCTTGTGTTTACATGTCCTTTAGAGGCAAAACGATTCTGGTCAGTTTCCATCAATTTCTTGGTTTTCTGTAAAGGTGTTTGATTTTGGTGTGGGGGTGATGTGTTATTGTTGATTCGGTTTGTGTTTGTGCAGTTTGATTGTGGGATTAATCCTGCGTATTCAGGAATGGCTGCGTTACCTTACTTTGATGAGATTGATCCTACCACCATTGATGTCCTCTTGATTACTCAGTATGTTTTACTATGTTCTTGCTCTTTTAGCTAATACCCATTAAAATTTTGGGGGCAAATATTTAATTTTTCTCATCTAAAGATATAAATTGGGAGGCTACTAGAACAAAAACTTCAAAAATTTTAGCTTCTTTATACAAAAACAAAGGCATGATGTGCAGAGGAAATATGTCTTGGACTAGGATTCTGTGATTAGTTCAAGATTTTAGGTGGAGTTTGTTCTTTGTCTGTCTACTTGAAGAAGTTTGTTTACTTAGTTTAAGATTTGATGCCTTTCTATTGCAGCTTTCATTTGGATCATGCAGCATCCCTACCTTATTTTCTGGAGAGGGTTTGTTTGTTTCTCACCGAATGATTTTGTTGTTCAGTGTCTTTTAACATTTAGCTGGAACTAAATACAGATTAGTCTTCTTTTTGATTAGACAACATTCAAAGGGCGAGTTTTTATGACACATGCCACAAAGGCTATCTACAAGTTGCTACTTACAGATTATGTAAAAGTTAGCAAAGTGTCAGTGGAAGACATGCTGTTCGATGAACAAGACATCAACAAATCCATGGATAAAATTGAGGTGTGTTATTACCACTTGTTCTTGCTTTTTTTTATCCTACTATTATCCATTAAAGATGATGTTTTCTGTCACGATACACATAGTAGATCCTTGTGCGTTTATGTGTGGTGTGTGGTGAGCTCTCGTCTTTTAGTCTTCTTACAAAACATATGGGTTTAGACAAACAACATTGTATCATATCATTATGTTACTGCCTTGATTACTCCATTGAGTTAAAAGGTGTATGTTCGAATTTCTCTCTAAGGTAATTGATTTCCATCAAACGGTTGAAGTGAATGGCATAAAGTTCTGGTGCTACACGGCAGGCCATGTTTTGGGTGCAGCCATGTTTATGGTGGACATAGCCGGTGTCCGGATCCTCTACACAGGCGACTATTCCCGCGAGGAAGACCGTCATCTAAGAGCAGCCGAGCTTCCTCAGTTCTCCCCTGACATATGCATCATCGAATCAACTTCCGGTGTCCAGATTCATCAATCTCGTCACATCCGAGAGAAACGTTTCACCGACGTAATCCACTCAACAGTTGCTCAGGGAGGACGTGTCCTGATCCCGGCTTTTGCCTTAGGCCGTGCACAGGAGCTTCTCTTGATTCTAGACGAGTACTGGTCTAACCACCCGGTTCTACACAACATCCCGATCTACTACGCTTCACCGCTCGCCAAAAAGTGTATGGCGGTTTACCAAACCTACATTCTATCCATGAACGACAGAATCAGGAGCCAGTTTGCGAATTCTAATCCGTTTGTGTTCAAGCACATCTCTGCGTTGAACAGCATCGATGATTTCAGAGACGTTGGTCCGTCTGTGGTTATGGCTAGTCCTGGAGGTCTTCAAAGCGGTTTCTCGAGGCAGCTCTTTGACATGTGGTGTACAGATAAGAAGAACGCTTGTATCGTACCTGGTTACATGGTGGAAGGTTCACTAGCGAAAACGATAATCACTGAGCCTAAGGAGGTGACACTTATGAACGGTCTCACTGCTCCTCTCAACATGCAGGTTCACAACATCTCCTTCTCTGCTCACGCAGACTATGCGCAGACGAGCGCTTTCTTGAAAGAGCTCATGCCTCCCAACGTCGTTCTTGTTCACGGCGAAGCTAACGAGATGATGAGGCTGAAACAGAAGCTCTTCACGGAGTTTCCAGATGGGAACACAAGGATCATGAACCCGAAGAACTGCGAGTCCGTTGAGATGTACTTCAACTCGGAGAAAATGGCGAAAACCATTGGGAGATTGGCGGAGAAGACGCCTGATGCTGGCGATACAGTGAGCGGGATTCTTGTGAAGAAAGGTTTCACTTATCAGATAATGGCGCCTGATGATCTCCATGTTTTCTCACAGCTGCCAACAGCAACTGTTACTCAGCGGATCACTATCCCATTCTCAGGAGCTTTCGGTGTGATAACACATCGCCTCGGGAAGATTTTCGAGACTGTGGAATCATCGATGGATGAAGAAACCGGCCTTCCAGGGTTGAAAGTACACGAGAGAGTAACGGTGAAACAAGAGTCAGAGAAGCACATCTCGCTTCAGTGGTCTTCGGATCCGATAAGCGACATGGTTTCAGACTCCATTGTAGCTCTGGTTCTCAACATCAGCAGGGAAGTCCCCAAGATCATGGTGGTGGAAGAAGAAGAAGCTGTGAAATCGGAGGAAGAGAACGGCAAGAAAGTCGAGAAAGTAATATACGCGCTTCTTGTGTCGCTCTTTGGGGATGTGAAGGTAGGAGAGAATGGGAAACTTGTGATTGGTGTCGATGGCAATGTCGCTCAGCTCGATAAAGAGAGTGGAGATGTAGAGAGTGAGCATGAAGGTCTTAAGGAAAGAGTAAGAGTAACATTTCAAAGGATTCAAAGCGCTGTGAAACCTATCCCCTCTCTCAGCAAATTAAAGTAGTCGTTGAGGTCTTTTTTCATCATATCATCTAACGTTGTTACTGTCTCCAAGTTTACTAATAATATATGATGATCAAATGTAATGGTTTTTTGTTTACTAAGAATGTGTTTAATGAAACTTTGCTGCTTCTATAAGCTTACTGTGATGTGATGATGATTAGTAACATTTAGTAACCTCAGCGAGTTTCCCAAGCATCGTGGGTTCCAGCCCCATTTCTTCTTCATGGAGTTAATGGGCTAGGCCAATATGGCCCAAACGAAGAAAATGAGAAATATAAAACCTTTTTCAGCGTTTGATAAATAGTTTTCATGTTTTTTTCTTTTTTCATGACACTAAAAGTTGTAAACGCAAGATCAAACAAACAACTGAAACCTAAGTAATATGAGTTAACAAAATTAAGGGATTTATTGGGATTGCCGGTGGTTATATATGAACTTAGGAACCAATTCGGTGAAAATTAAACAACAATAATAATATGGTGATACTAGTTCATGACGCTAAAGGTTATGAGGTTTTGTTTTACAAAATGTAAATTTAAACGCAAGATGATACAAACAATGGAAACCTATTAAGCACTAAGTAACATGGGATTCATGACTTGACAAAAAATAAAACGGTATTTATTGGAATTGCCGGTGGTTATATATGGCACTTTGGAACCAATTTGGTGGTGATACTAATTTCATATAATACTATATGATTTTATATGATGGGTTGCTGAAAAAGAGGGAATGTAGAGTTAGGCAGAAACATTACCACAAGTAAGAATATTGGAAAGAATGAGTGGGAGAGTGGTTACTTATTAGGCTAAAATTACTATTAAAAGTAAAGAAAAAGAGAGTGTCTCAATTATCGAGACATGAGAGTCTAGAAACGCAACTCCCACACATTATTATGGATCACTAACAAAAACTCAAGCAGTGAACGTAATCTATTCTATCTTATATTGGATCTTTTGATAGAGACATCAACTCTTAGCTTGTTTCTTCCCAATACGTTCTAATGTTTATGAAACATACAGAGTTAATGTCACCAAATCATCCAAAATATCAAAAGAACTTCAATAAAGAAGAAAATTTGGGAAGCTGTGAAATTTTATTGAACCTACTTTTAACCTAATTAGTGATGATTAAACTAATTTGGGGAGTATATTTTATGTGAAATATTAACATTGTATTATAGTTTAGTATGGTATCAAAATCTAATAAATCAATATGAAAACAATTTACTATTAATTTTAAAATAGAATATAATTCGAAATAAATCAATAAAAACCATCATCTCGAGAAGAAAAAAATGTTTAGATCCTATATAAAAATTATAGGGAAAAAACTTAAAACAATACACTTGCATAAGATAGAAATCAATTTGTTTATCTCTAAAATTCAACATAAGTCCAAAGAAAAAAGAAGTGAAAGGAGACACTGTATGTTTGTCTACTTCAAATAGAATATTGATTCATCCCACTTTGCCGACTACTTAGATCGCTGAGTATATCAATAAAATAAAAGAAATGTAATTAATAAAAATGAGAAGTGTGATACTAGGAGAATGCGAACCGTTCGATGTGAAACCCCTTAAACGGATGAATCCCCCCTTAGCTTCAACTCATATCTTTGTTGCTTTTACTCCAACAAGCGCTCCCTACTTTTGACTTTCAGAACCTCCAAACGCTTTTTGTTTTTCGGCTATAAAGAATATCTTTTCTTTTGCCTCTCTTCTTTTATACTATTAGTATATAATAAAATACACTAGGAATCTATCATAGTGATGATTATCTTAGGTTTACAACTAATAGCGTCTCGTTAAATATTTGTCTGAGCTGGAAAGATGGATTGATGAGGAAACTAAAAAGGATGGAGCAAGGGGGGGACGAGAAGTTAGCTATGATTTATCTCCACGAATCCAATGAATTTAGTTGATATTCTTTGACACATCATGGTTGTACAGTACTAATATACCCTTTTCAAGAATTTTAAGTTTTGTTTATAAGTAAACATGTTGAAATATTATCCAACTGTAATATCCAGAGTCAATGTTGATGATTCGTTTACAGCCAAATGAAGAAATGTTCAAAGGAGGTGGTAAGAGGAAAACACTTTAACAAAAAAAAAATGTGGTAAGAGGATTCTACATTATCCCACGTACTAATAATTCTTTCTAAATGAAAACTTTCGTTTTTGTTAGAGTTTATTCTTTAGGTGAATGACATTGAACCAAATATGTTTATTTCTTTTTTTTAATTAGAACACTGAACCAAATAGATGTGTACCCGAATATAACTAAAAATCCAAACTTATCTTTTTATTTTGACGACACCAGACAAATTTAGCAGACCTTTGTAGGCCAAAAAATTTATCCGTCAAAAATTTAGATCAATAATTTGGAACTTTGTTCTTTTATCGTCACTTTTTACTTGTACGTATCAGTCGTGTACTTTGTTTTGATTTCTCATTTGATCCATTGGTTTTATATAAATCTTGATCAGAGCAACACGTGTGTGTGATTCTTTTGTACAGAACTTTTTAGTACAGAACTTTCGGAGAGAGATCTACCGAAAGGCGTTTTATATATTTGACTCAGCTCAAGGTACTTTATCAAAAACATCATTAAAAGAGCAAAAATAGCCTAATACGGTATTATTTGTTATTACTTTTTTTGTCAGCATATGGACAATGTATTCCGTAGTAAACAGTACAAAAGAAGACAAAATATATAAGACAAAAAGGTACGGCAGAAAAAATTGCACGACGAGTGGCCATCAAGCGTCGACAAGATAAACCATGACCACCTGCCTCCCTTGTTCATTCCAAAAATTAAATAAGATTCTAAAGTTTAATGCTTATATATCTATATATATTTCCCCAAAAAGTAATCCTTGATAATGCTTTGCACATTTCAACCCAGAAGAATATAATAAGTACTGAAAATAATATGACTTAATTATGATGTCAGCAAATGGTAATCTAGAAGATAATTAAAATAGGAGTGTTATGAATCGTACACGAAATATACGAAGATGACTTGGGTGAATACAATGTGGACAGAAGTTTGTAATATACTACATATATTTGTTTGACGTACGTGGGCTCTTAAGGCAATTTAATTTCAAGCTAAAATTGTTGATATTTTTGCTAGTTTTCGTCTCATTTCAAGCTACACCAAAATGTACAAAATATTTTTCAAGATTCATCTAAGCGTCTAAAACAAATTCTAAATTAATCCACCTTACTTAATTAAGTGAAATTAACTAAAATTACTCTTTTTAAAAACACAGTCTAACCATCGAACACGTTTCATTATATATGGTTCAAAGTTAGGGATACTGATATTATTCTCTAGAAGTTCCTACACCACATCCTTGGATATAGTCTATGAGTTCCTCTTCACTTTCATCTAATGGATCAAGCATTATGTTATTGTTAGAGAAGAAATGAACACATTTTTTCAAGGTTTTCTCTAGCAATAATCTAAGCCTATTAGGACCATGAAGACCGTGCCGACCTAGCTCGGACTAAAGAAAATATCTTAAGGATAACCATTGAAGACCGGAAACATCAGATTAACTCAAAGGATAAAGGATAATTTCCTTATTCCTCGGAGAATAAGAGATATTTTCATATCACAAATATGGAAATATTTACGAAGGACAAAAAGGAAAAGGAGTTTGGAACAACCGACCTCATATCCCTATAAATATAGCCTCAAAGCCTGGAAGAAGAACCAATACATTCTAGAGAGCAGCAGAGCTAAAATCAGAGTCTCCAACACTTTCTAGCTTACCTCCCAAATATTCTTTACACTTCGGCATAACCTCTCGGTTATCCTATTCTTTGTAATCGCTTCGCTTTATTGCTATTAATAAAAGATTTTATTCTCTGAAACCCACAACTGTTAATCAAAACCCTAGTGGTGATTTTTTGGTTCAACAGTTGGCGCCGTCTATAGGGACTATAAGAATAAATTCTTAAAAACTAAGCAAGAAAAGTCGAAGCAATGAGCCTCCTGGTCGATAATAGCGATCTCATCCAAAACGACGATGACACCACTCACAGAGACATCCGCTCTCGGCGAACGTACCAACGCTACTACCGCGAATCCACCCACGGGAGCACCCCCATCTCCCATCCAGGCCGCAGACATCACTGCAGCTATCCAGGCCGCCATTCTCCCCTTCACGCAGAATTTGGTGTCCAAACTAGACTCCCTCCAGGCCCAGCAAGCCAAGTACGACGAGCAGCTCAGCGCCTTCGCAGCTGCGACCACCACAAGATCAGAACCAACCGGGCGACGTCTGGTCTTCGATACACCGGAGCAAAACAACACCAGCTAACGAAGAACCATCAGACGAGCTGAATTCAGAGATCGCGAGGTTGCACTAGCGGATCAATGCGATCGGATCTCAAGTCCATCGTGCCACTAGTTTGGCACCCGAGATCTCGGCCATTCTCTCAGATGTTGAACGCAATCCGTTCGCCCCACGAATCACCGACGTACAACTCGGAGAGGCGATCAAACTAAATCTCCCATACTACAACGGGATGGAAGACCCCAACCTATGGCTGACCGGTTTCAATGTCGCCATGAAAAGACAGCGCTTTGAGACCGACCTCGAACGCGAGGCAAATCACTGCCAAACCTTTTGTTGAGCACCTTAGCAAGGACGCTCTAAAGTGGTTTTCCAATCTCCCTCCCGCATCGATCAAATTCTTCAGGGATCTATCACACGCTTTTATCAAGCACTACTTTATGTTCATCACGAAAAGGACGATCAACATTTTTACTTTAATGCAGGAACACAATCAGCCATTCCGCGACTTCATCGGAAATTTTAAAAGCGCAGCCGCGGTGTACGATCAGATCCCGCAATCTCTAACCATTGAGGCACTCATGAACTGCCTCTGGTTCGAATCTTCCTTCAAGGAAGATCTGCAAAAACACCCGAAGGAGACCATTGAAGATGCACTCCACCGAGCTCAATTTTCATATGGATGAAAGAGGAAAAAATCTGCTACGCCAAGAAGCACGGCATGGACGAGGCGAGCACCTCAAAAGACAAAGAACACGTGGGCAAAAGCAAGTCATCCTTTCACGCCGTTGTAACAACTGGAGAGAAGCCTTGGAATGAGTGGACCTTAGGAGATCCCCCAAGGAGCATA